ATTATATGTTTTATTTATTATGATATGATATGATAAAATGGAAATATACAATTATTATTACGATATTATATATATATTATATATAATTAAATAAATATTGTATATAAAATATATATTATTATAATATGATATTATTATGATATGATATGATAAAATGGAAATATACAATTATTATTACGATATTATATATATATAAAATAAATATAACATATTTTATATAATTATTATTATTATATACTCGTGTAATTATTTAATGCTTATATAAAATAAGTATGGAAATAAAATGGAAATATACAATTATTATTNATATATATATAATATCGTAATAATAATTGTATATTTCCATTTTATTTCTATACTTATTTTATATAAGCATTAAATAATTACACGAGTATATAATAATAATAATTATATAAAATATGTTATATTTATTTTATATATATATAATATCGTAATAATAATTGTATATTTCCATTTTATCATATCATATCATAATAATATCATATTATAATAATATATATTTTATATACAATATTTATTTAATTATATATAATATATATATAATATCGTAATAATAATTGTATATTTCCATTTTATTTCCATACTTATTTTATATAAGCATTAAATAATTACACGAGTATATAATAATAATAATTATATAAAATATGTTATATTTATTTTATATATATATAATATCGTAATAATAATTGTATATTTCCATTTTATCATATCATATCATAATAATATCATATTATAATAATATATATTTTATATACAATATTTATTTAATTATATATAATATATATATAATATCGTAATAATAATTGTATATTTCCATTTTATTTCTATACTTATTTTATATAAGCATTAAATAATTACACGAGTATATAATAATAATAATTATATAAAATATGTTATATTTATTTTATATATATATAATATCGTAATAATAATTGTATATTTCCATTTTATCATATCATATCATAATAATATCATATTATAATAATATATATTTTATATACAATATTTATTTAATTATATATAATATATATATAATATCGTAATAATAATTGTATATTTCCATTTTATTTCTATACTTATTTTATATAAGCATTAAATAATTACACGAGTATATAATAATAATAATTATATAAAATATGTTATATTTATTTTATCTAAGCTACGCCGAGTCAACAATTATTCACACCGTTGTCATTGAAAACGTCTTCCTCCCTTAAATAATTACAATAAGTCGAGAACGATGCAACAATATCCTCAAATTCTTCCAATGCGAGCTTCTAGTTTGATATTTGACCGATTCATTTTTCTCATAAATGCATAAAATCCGTGGCCTAATAACGATTATGCGAAGCACGAACTTTCGACATGGAACATTGATTTCTGACGCGTCGACGAGATTTTTCCAGAGTCGGCGGTTTCAGAAATCAGACTTGGTCGAAGCTGTTGTTACGGTAAACACGGACTCACCTATGACCGTGGGTTCAAGATCCAAGAACACAGCACGCGGCACATATTTCCCACCGCCGGTTTCGCTGAAGAAGGTCTGGAAGCCGTCGTCGCTGGAGCAACTTTGCGGAGGAAGCATGCCGTCCGGTTGAATCCCGTGTTCCAGGCAGTAGAGCTCCCAGCAAGCGTTCCCCATTTGGACGCCGCCTTGGCCGATGTGGACCGACAATACTTCACGCTGATGAATTCGGAAAATTGTATAATCTGTTTTTGCTCAGATCGAAATCCAAGCTCTCGTTCCTAGCGATGCTGGAGATCGGAGTTCGAGCGTAGAAGTTTTGATCAGAATTAGCGTGTCTCGTTCGCGACGTTATTCGAAATTTACGAATTCGTTGAACCGTGTCGATCTCGACGCGGATACTCGGCGAAACGTTTTTCGTTGTAGAGAAAAAAAAATAACGAATGAATGATAGAGACTGATAATTACCATTTTTCGGCGAGTTATTCAAGATTTTACGGTGGAGAAGATGAAAACGATGTCGACGGGATGGTCGCGCGAATCCAATTGAAGAAATGGTATTTTCTTAACGCATATTTTGTTTTCGTTGCCGGGGAACGGTGACATCAAAGGCTACACGGTGATTTTTTCAGCAACGACGAACGATCTGCGATTGCATCGGTGCTGTCGAACGAGGAGACAGAAAGGAGCGAGAGTCGAAACGAGACCTTTGTCGTTAATTTGAATTTAGCTATGCCGAAACGTGTAAATGAAATCGACGACAATTTGTGTATACTGTACACAAATTAGAATTAAGATTTTATTTATAGAATTGAGGGTTAATTGTGGTCCGATTCCATTGTCGAAGCATAAATGTTTCGATTTACCAGGTTGCTTGCCACGTGTAATGAATAAATATCGTCTAAAGCAGGGGTGTCAAACTCAAAAGCTATAACTTGGGCCAAATAAACAATGCTTAACTTTAGGTGGGCCGCAAAAAAATCAATGTTTATAGAAACAAATATTTTTATTTTGACTAGTACATTGTAATAAACACATATATAAAGTTAAATTATTGTATACATCCTGATACTTGACATCAAAAATGTTCATCTCGAGCCGCGAGTTTGACACCCCTGGTCTAAAGCACGTCGTGTTTGGTCTCATTTTAATTAGAAGAATCTGGCCAATATATTAAACAAATTTTTATGTATAAAAAAAAATTAGAAATAAAAAAGTTAGGTCGTCCTTTTTATTTTAGCATTACTATTGTATTTGTGTTAATGTACACCGGCTGCTGGCTGCTGCCTCTTTTTGCCGACTGCTCCGAGTTTCGTTGTCTCTCCCTCTCTCTCTCTCTCCCTCTCTCTCTCTCTCCCTCTCTCTCTCCCTCTCTCTCCCTCCCTCTCTCTCTCTCTCTGTCTCTCTCTCTCTCTTTCTCTCCCTCCCTCACGAGATGGCAACTATAAAAATGAGCCGCGAGGCCCAAAGAATCGCGACCGAGTGCCGCCGATTACCGTTTTCAATTCGGTGCACCGGGTCTTCCAGGGAGAATTTACTGTGCTCGCTTGTATTGATTCGTTAAGGGTAGTCACCCCTGTTCCAAGGACAGTTTTGCATCGTGTACCAGCGGACGAGGTGGCCGAGAGGTTAAGGCGTTGGACTGCTAATCCAATGTGCTCTGCACGCGTGGGTTCGAATCCCATCCTCGTCGACTATTTTTTATATTTTAATACGCGACATAATTAAATATATCATTGGGAGATTTCTTTAAACGACGCTACAGACCACGCTGTCATCGTGCACATATTGTATTCGTGATCTAAATAGATAATAACAATTTTGTGTTCCGAAGTAGAACGCGGTGCGACGCGTCCAATCGTCGTACACGAGTCATAAAATAAATGTACTATTACGAATCGCGACGAGACAAATGATTGAAAAATCTAAAGTAAAATTTATCCACTGATCGATATATGTCAGATCATAATTTTAATAAGGAATAATGATTTTCTTGTAATCGATTTCAATGTGTGCTCCAAAATTGCGTAGAAAAAATGGAACAATGGATTTCGTGGCGCTTCGTAAAGATTGAGAAGTTGTTAATAAGTGAAAATCATTTTCTTTCTTTTTTCAATTGTACGATAACGTCGAGAAGATGCATAAAGTGTAGCCGCTCGGTTAACTTTTGCATTTCCGTCTGTTGCAATTCATCGTTTCCCGATGCAATCGGGTTCCCATCATTTTCTACAGTATCAATGCTAGAGCTTGCAGGGAACTGCAACCATAAATTCGTGTACCATCGTCCGATTAATATTACCGCAAGCGAGGCAATTCGTCCGTGCAATTGTCACTTAATAAATTACATTGCATTCGAGCATTTTTATAGTCACCGATCGTCAATTACTATAAAAACGAGTCGCAAGGCTCGAACAATCGTATCTCCTCTTCCCAAATTGTCCATATTTGTGCGCAATCTGAGTGCGAATTAGGGAGAATTTCCGCATTCCGCAAATCATTTTCGAAACTTAAATGTCATAAAATTATCTTTCAATCGAAGACAAAGATTTGGCTTCAAGCTTAAATGTTTACGCGTTTTATTTCAATTTAATGTTCCATCACTCTAAAAAAAAGCATCCTTTAGAAACATATGAATGAATGGTCGTTAGGAACTCGCCTCGAGTCATGCAAAAGAATAAAAACGGCAACTTTCTTTCCCTCTCAGCAGTACCAGCACTTGCGCATTAGGTTTCACATTGATTCGCGCAACCCGAAGATGACGTTTACCGTATGAGAACCGTAATTCAGAAACCGTATTGAATTTTTCGGAGATATCGGATTAAGAAGACGGCCTTGGGCCGAACAAGGACTTTCCTCATTCTTCCGACTGCCGTTAAGAGCGTTGGCATTTGAGGTTCATTTACCTGCTCAACTTTGAGATCGGATCTTCCAGATACAGGATTCGATAAATGCAGAAAAAAGAGCAGGATCCGATTTTACAAACACGTCAGATTATTGTATACACAAGGTGTCCCAAAATGATTGCGGGAACAATTGCTGAGCTACGGAAAAAATTCTGATGACTGCAGCGACAAATTAATTGCAGACAAATTCTTACTTTGCTTCTCCGATCTACAAGATATTTATACAAAAATATCTTGCGATCCGGAAATGGGGTCCTGAGGTCATTTCAAGCAACTTTTTCCTTAGCGAAAATACGATCCGCGGCTTCGTTTACGAGTTATTAACGAAAAACGCCGACCAATGAGAGGCGAGCTCGGTTGGCGCGAGGCGGGCCTAGCCAACGAGCGGCCCAGCCTGGCTTCGCCGATTGGCTCGGCCGCCTAGCGCCAAGCGAGCTCGCCTCTCATTGGTCGCCGTTTTCCCTTAATAACTCGCAAACGAAGCCGCGGATCGCATTTGCGCAAAGGAAAATGTTACTTCGAATGACCCGAGGAACCCGTCGCTGCTCACTTGTACCATAATTTCGGGACACCTTGTCTACGGTAAGCAAAATAATAAACCCTGTCGGGATAGCCGGTCATCGAAAGAAAGAAAAAGTCGAAAGAACAAAAGGAAAACCACTTCGACAAAACCTTGTCGTTTATTTAAACGACCTCGAGGTCAAATAATCCAGATCCAGAGGCTCCAATAAATTCCAAGAATACCACGACACGATACTTCGGATCCGTTCCAGCGGGGTCGTCGCGGCAGGCCGGCTTGAGTCACCGAAAGACTGGAAAGAGAAAGACCCGTTTCGTCCCCCTCCATTCGTCCGCGCGGGGCACACGGACGGACAGAGAGAGGGAGAGAGAGAGAGAGAGAGAGAGAGAGAGAGAGAGAGAGAGACACGTGGGCCCGACTCCTTCCGTACAGGTGGGTATCCTCACGATTCATAGATCCCCCCACCGCGGCCGATTCAAGTTAGACTTGATCTTGATTTGACGAAGCGAGCTGCTGCAGTCCGGTGGTCGACAGTGCGGCGTGCGGAACTCGTCGAGGCATTTCGGCAGGCAGGTTGAAGACTCATCAACTCATCTTATCACGGTGTCGAACGCTGTCATGACATACATCCGCGCGGCCATTTACGGTTTCGACGATCGATCGTTAGGAATCCTAGGCCGGCGACGGCAGTTCGTTTCGAGCAGTCGCAGTGGATCGTAGCGGTTCCGTCCGCGTCTGCACCGTCGCCACGGGGACGCTTCGATAGAGACGCGAATCGCCCGCAAAGATCGATACGCGCCGGTCTCGACAGGATTCCGCGCCGAAAACCACGTCCGCCGACGCGACGAGCCGTTGCGACGAGACGCGGTCCGCCAGGCTAGATCCGCCATCCGCGCGCTGGCTAGATCCTAGCACGCCGAGAAAACGTGCTCTCCGCTCCGCGCCGCTCCGCTCCGCGCCGGGACGCGACGCGACGCGCCGAGAAAGTTGCCGACAAGCGTCGCGACGATAAGAGAAAAAAAGAGAGGAACCAGGATCCCGAGCGGACGTCTCGTTGCCTTTGACATTAACCCGGTTCGAGCGGCGCCCAGGGTGCTGCACCGTGTCGCGAGTGATACATCCCGCCCCCTCCAGTGATCCATAGAGATTTTTCGACGCGGCGGCGGTCCCCCACGTTCGTTCCGAAACTCCGGCGCTGTCCACGCACTTTTGCGTTTCACTTTCGGGAATAATTCACCGAGGCGAGGGTAAGTAGACCGGAAGCTCGGCTTCTGATTCGGCGACGATGGGGAGAGAATGCTTGGCTCGGACGCGGAAGCCAACGGTTCGCGCTGCTCGAGAAAACGCGAACAATCGACTTGCGACTCGCAGAAATGCTTTTCGGTGTCTCGCTCGGTTTTCGGCTTTCTCGCGAGAAAACGAATCGGGAACGTTGCAGCTTGCTTTTCTTCTGTGAACAAGTGATCTCGAAGTCGATCGTCGAACGCGTCGCTCGGACGCTTTGACTTTTGATTTGCGGTCGAATGGCGCGCTCTGGGACGCCGTTCGAAATGGCTGAATTATCTTTCGAAACGAATTTTTACGCTGTTAACACTGGATTCACGGAGCACGAAAGAACAGCTGTTTTATATTAGTTTATTAATGTAACGATAAGACGTTTACAATAATGTCTCCCTAACTGACGCTCAGATTATCCACAAAATGGACAATTTGGGAAGAGGAGGTACGATTATTCGAGCCTTGTGGCTAGTTTTTATAATTGTTGACAATTCGTAACTATAAAAATGAACCGCGAGGATCGAATAATCGTATCTTCTCTTCCCAAATTGTCCATTTTTGTGGACGATCTGAGCGACAATTACTGTATTCTGATTTTGACCAAGTGTTATCGTAACGTTTGCCGTAAATAAACTGAATAAATAACTGATAAATGTATCTTTACGATATGGATAATCGTAAATTAAAAAGTCAGTGACCCATCGTTTCGACGGGTTCCGTAAATCTAGTGTTAAAATCCGAGTCCAATGAATTGTTAGAATCGCGGGCGTTGCATAGGCGGCAAACGGGATTACCGTCGTACGCGTGGAATGAAAAGAAGCCTAGGAGCTGATAAGCCTATGTCATAGTTTGAAAAGACCGTCGCGATTTTGGAGGGAGAACAGCTCCGAGTGCGAAAGGTTAATCGATTTCTCGCGGCTTCAGGTAACACGTGTCGTCTAGTTCTCGCGCGCCAAGTAGACCGTGGATTTCCATGCGTTCGAAAGTGTTTTCTAAAACGATCTTTAAAAATTGGAATTCGCATAACGATCCGTCGCCTGGTAATCTGGTATTAGAATGTTACAGCTGAGCTGTGTTGCAAGCTTGGCGCGAAGAAGTGATCGAACTCGACTATGACAAATTCGTTCGCTGTTTCGCAATGAATTAATATTGAAATGTCGCAGTTGAAGTTTTTACGCCGTCGGGAAGTGAACGATCTCGCTTGTAAATACATTCAGATCGTTCATTCTCATTTTGCGCTCCGTCGATCTTTCATCCTCGGATTCCGGGAAACTGGTTAACTGGTTGCCACTAGCGTCGGCCCGAGCTCTTGGCATTACAGAAATATCGCGGTATAGATGTTTACGCGGCGACAGGTGGCCGAGATCCATAGTGAAAGTATTTAGAAAATTTTCTGTGCACGGTAAAAACGTGCGCGTCGTCGATTTTTGCCTTCTCGGATGAAAAATGTATCGATATCCGTGAAAACAACCAAGACCGTAAAAGTCTCCGGCGATTAACAAGGGTGATATTAACGGGTGAACTAGAACAAAAGGAAGAGCGATGGAAAAAAACAACCACGTGTTCGTAGCCGCTGCAATTTAGCAACCATGACAGAATACTTGCACTTCGCCAGGAACACGGAAACCACTGTGAACACTTGAAAACCAGCGCGAACAGGGCTGAAGACGAACGCTGAAGATAAAATCACCGAGAACATCCTTCTCCATGACCCGCGTGAGACAAAATTATAGAACAGCATGACAGACCACGCGGTCGCTAAAAATCAATTAGTCGAAAGAAGGGAAAATCTCGCGTTAACTGCAATTTCTCGAAATGTCTCGGTTAATTGCTTTCCATAGGAGGAATTTCACTGATCGAACGTCGGCGATAAATCAGCGACGGGATCGTTGGTAGCACGGCGGTTCTTCCGCGCAAATGGTGAGTCTTGTCGATGATGGTGGCATAATGGGGGGAGGACATTAGGAAGCGTTGCATAATAGAAGAAACGAGGAAGAGAGCACTTAGCTCGCCGCCTAATTCATGGCACGTGAAGTAGGATACTGTAAACATCGCTGAGAACCGTGAAATTCAGAAGGAAACCGATGTTTTAATTAATTGACGGTCGCCGTTGCGCCAGTGTCGCGATCATAATGCCCGGCAATGATGCTTTGGGGACCGTAATCCACGAAAAATACGCCCGGAGATGGCTTATGCAACCATGAGAGATGTGGCAACGAAAACAACACGTGTACTTCGATTCAAAGTCAAGTGCGTTGCGAGCAAACCTTGTCCCCACGAATAAGAATAATTTATCGTCTTGGCAGAAAAACCCAAGCACGTGGCAGAGAGACCGTCCAACATTCGCTAGAGGTTGCCAATGTTCTCTTTTTTCTCGCTGCACTTTTTCTCCTCCCGAATTTGCCTTACAATCGATGTTGGTTGTCTGCTCGTATAACTTAGGATGCTGTTTTATAGTCGATCTTTTGTAGTGTACGAGCAGTGTACAGTGGCCCGAAAAAGTGGTCTCGCACACCTTTTAGAACAGACATTTTTTAAATAACAACATAACATTTTTAGAACTGGACTAAGTGACTTGAGTTTTGTTTTGGATGATAGAAGGACTGCTTTATTAAAATTTTTCTATTACCTTTTGGAATTGAAATGTAAGTGTTTGTGCAAGCTTCGTTGCTTACGCAGATGCATATTAGTTTACTCTACAACACGTGTTCACGTGTTTACGTAAACTTGACGTCAATTCCTTGAGTAATATTTAAATTTATTTTATATTATTATAAAATTTTTTTTTATATAATTTATTATATAAAATCAACTTTTAATCGCTGTTCGATGTCGGATAATCGAAGCAACGATCGACCGAACAAATAACTTTCAACGATCGCCGTAGGACTCGCGGTCTCGGACGATGATGATCCGCGAAGTATAATAAATCCTCCCTAATCGACGCTCCGATTGTGCACAAGAATGGAGAATTTGGTAAAAGGAGAAGGCAAGGAAGAGGCGAGACAATTAGGGAGAGCTTATTGTATCGAGTAGGCAGGCTGGAACATTATCAAGAAACATCGATAATTGTGAAGTTATGTAATTATACTTAACACCATGTATCATTTTGAATTACCTTCGGGGCATTCGACAAGCACAAGAAACTGTTTACCTGTCACAGAGCATTTAATTACTTTTTTATCTGTTCCGACGCGATAAAAGAGGCGTATCGGTCGATACGTTCGTTTCAATTACACAGCCGTTTATCAAATAACAATGTAAAAACGTGTCGAAGTGAATCAACATCCAACAATTACAAATTAATTTCCATCGCCGGGATAAACGTGTTCTCGATTCGAAATTTCGATCAATTTGCTCAACTCCTGATTCTTATGTCAACGCCAAATATATTTATAAACGACGTTCGATGCTCTACAAGAATAACAATACACAATTGACTCGAACTTCTTGCCATGTTTGTCGCATACGTAACACTCGACGCGAGAGATCGATTCGATGAAACAATTTTAAAATAGAAAATACGAAACACTTCGACCGTCACGGTTGAAACGAAAGTTTCGGGAGAAATCGTTTAATTTCCAAAACGGCGTTCATGTCCGTGAAATGGTTCGATCGTACCGAGATTCCGATCTCGAATCGTTTATTACGGAAATTATATCGTCCAAAAATTCCACTGAAAATACGCGACGATTGCAAGTCCGACGAAGGGTTGATTTTATTAGGAATTCCGTTCGTTCGCCGGCGACAGAACGAAACACAGTAATGTCTCCCTAATTGACGCTCGGATTGTGCACAAAGACGGACAATTTGGGAATAGGAGACACGATTATTCGAGTTCTTGCGCCTCGTTTTTATAGTAACCGATTGTCAACAATTATAAAAACGAGGTGCAAGGCTCGAATAAATGCCCAATTCCCGAATAAATTCTTAAATTGTCTATTATTGTTTACAAGCTCAAGGTTAAATTAGGGAGAATTTTTTTACGTCGCTTTATGTAAACTAAGACGAAGCTTAATATCTCCAAAAAAGATCGGTAATTATAAAAACGAGGCGCAAGACTCAAATTAATCGTATCTCCTCTTCTCACATTGTCCATTCCTGTGGACAATCCGAGCGTCAATTAGAGAGACATTACTCTAGATGCGGATGTCCGTTTGACAGATCCAACGGCGATCTTATACGCGTAATTTAGCGTCGTTCGATAGATCCGAGGGTCACGTGGCGGCCGAAAAACCTGTTACGGTCGTTTTACTTTCTTTCTCCGGCGCGATTCACGAGAGTGACGCAAAAATCAGGGTGCCGGAATGGTGCATGATCGAAAACTAATCGAGAGATCCCGGCCGATACGTCCACGTCCCTACGAAGCCAATTTCTCCGGCGAATTTACTTTCTATAATCGCCTATTTTCGCTGGCTATAGCCTCGCTCAGATGTGTTACTTACGCGGGAATTAAGAACACGGAGCCGGCGACCATATGGACCGTCCATCGCGAGATGCTTTTCCCAGATGATCGAGTTCCCTCCGGTAAACTATCGGTGCTCATCTTCCCGATTTCGTCGGCATAGGTATAGAGATTCGCTCGGTCGATAAAATCATCGGCCATTGCGCCGCGTAACCCCATATGCGGAATAATAATAAATAATAATTTACTTGAATTATAATCGAGCGGGAAAATAAATATTCGTCTCCTCCCCTAACAGGCTCCTCCCCTAAATTAAATACGATTTATCGCAATTGTTTCGCATGTTCTTATTTAATTCAATATATAATTATATTATATGTAATATATAAAATAATTTTATTATATTGAATTTCTCATAGTCTTCACAGAGAAGCCCCATGCGGAATAATAATAAATAATAATTTACTTGAATTATAATCGAGCGGGAAAATAAATATTCGTCTCCTCCCCTAAATTAAATACGATTTATCGCAATTGTTTCGCATGTTCTTATTTAATTCAATA